GAGTGGGAAGATAAACATGTGGTTTTCCTGACAGTCAGAGCGGCAGGAGCTCAACTTATAATAGGATAAGGGGTTTTGCACCTTAAAGCGAATTTTTTTGGAAAGAAAGTGCGCATGCTTAATTTTGCACCACTTCTAAGTTATTTGTATTTTTGCAGGTTTGCATATTGCATTTACGAATGCCACTGCACAACCAGGTAAAGGAGGAGGCGGAGGGGGGTTTGGCCATGGGGGGAGGGGGGTGGCGGGTGGCTGGGGTGATGGGGGTGCACCTCTGCACCTTCCCTCCTCCTTCCCTTATTTATTTGTCTGTATTAGTTAGCTCCTTCTCAGCACTTAAAATTAATGTCATCCAGCACAAAATAGAGGCTGAAAGCTAAAATTCAGCACTTTCTCAGCAACCCGGTTATTTATCAAGCTAACAAGGAGAAGATGCATCCTGTTTCAGTCGTGCCTAGGAAATATGTGCCATTAAAGCACAGAGCTTGTGTTTGAGAGCCGAGGAATAAAAGTGAGTGTGTCAGGGAGAGCGGATGGACGACATTGCCGGCAATACGGATGTGGAGAGAGGAGCAGACACATTTATATAAAAGGGACAATGGATGCTCTTGGATTGAAGCATGAGAGTACATGTCCTCCATGTGTGTATTAGAAGTGCTGATTCGCTGACGGCTATAAAAGGCGATCCTTTAGGGGAAACAGAAGACATAGTTTGGAGCTTTGAATAAATCATGTGCTGCCACTGTGAGGTTAGCGCTAATTTTCTTTTTAGGAGAAGGGTGTCGAAACACGTCCCGAGGACTGTTAGTATTGTGCTATGTTAACATCTCTTTGGCATCAGGAGCTAACGGCCGAGCGTTGGAATTCAATTAGACACTGGGTGCAATGCTAAGCAGGTTGCAGGGGCGGTCACCGCAGGGAGGAAAGGAGAGGAGAGGATAGTGACGCTGGGGGAAAAGAAGGATTGTGTGTGTGTGTGTTTTTTTTTTTTGCACCACTGTGAGTAGACAGGGAGACTGCAGGCTGAAGAGGAAGGCCCCTCGGCTGCTGTGATTCAGGCGAATACTTTATATCACACTGACCTGAGGCTCATCACCAGTTCCTCTGCCAGTAAGTACCTGAGGACAACAGAAGCTTCCACACACACACACACACACACACACACACACACTTTCCCACCCTGTGGGGAGAGCTTTGCAACTAATTATGTTTGAATATAACAAGGCATTTTAGATCTAACTAGCTGAAGGAGCTGAGAGAAAATTGTGTTAACATAATTTCAAAAAAGACAAGTTGGTTGATGTTTGAAAGTTTAGCTGCAGGGCGATGCTTTCTACTCAAGCATTATTACTGTAGCTCTGAAGCAAAATAAAACACATTTTTAAAAACAATCCAAGTTTAAACACAACTGTTCAACGTATGTGTCTTAACAAGTGTTATTCACCTCCCTTTTTCTGGATTTCAGAACATGCTTCTTCTTGCTTCCTCTTTTTCAGACGAGCCCATATAATGAGCATACATCCAGTTCCTATCCTCCTTGTCATTTGGATTTTACGGATAGAGGGATGACGTCTGTGTCAGTACCAAACCATGCCGGTGTAATGAGTCTCCCAATGTGCGGCTATAGTGGTTATATATAACTCAGCTGGTGAAGGGAAGTGAAGTATGTCACTCTGTTGGGGAAGGAAAACCTGCTCACTGCAGAATACAAAAGCACTCAGCAGTGTTTCATAAATGACAGTTCAGAGTTCCGGGTTTAGATGGCAACACCTTGATTTGTGTTGTTTTCCACCTAAAATCAACTTGTTTAAGTGGGATGTCTCCTCAGGAATTTTTTTATTCTGAAATTTAGCAATGATTTTAACAGAATAAGGTTTTCTGTTTGTATGCAATCTTAAACTTCTGAAGAAGTTCGAAAGAAAGTTCTTAGGTACAGTATGTGTAATAATATCTTACATTTCAATAAATTTAGTGCAAGTCAGAGGTTTGTATACTTTGTTGTCGGCATGGACGTCATGCTAGCTTTTGCTTTCAATAATACATTTAGAAACTTATTTTTTCTAAGATGGAATGATGATAGAAATTTCATGCATTTTAAAAGAAATAATTAAACAAATTAGTTGAATATTATGGGGGTTTTCATTAGAACAAAACTAAAAAGTTTTGTAAGTTATGGTCAGATTTGGGCCAATGGTATTGTACAAAAAGCAAAATGGAAGCAAAGCACTCCTGAGTTTTATTAAATTATATCAACAGAGCAGAAAGTTAAACACAGATTAAATCCTCTTTAATTTAATTACTTATTTTATATGCATTAGTATCATAAATAAGCTGAGAACATGTCCTCATGAATTTGGGGCTCTGTGTTTTGACCAAAAATGTGATGCCAGAATTCATTTACATTATTAAATAACCACAATAACATTTTAATGTTGTAAAATATAGAATGGAGAAAAGTAAAAGTTTTTCCTTTACAGTTAAGTGCATATTTTAAAAAAAACAAAAAAACATAAGATTTGAGGGCCAGCAAATTTACAGTTCGGTTATTTTTCCCTATAACCTCTTTGATGCCTCCATCTGCAGACACCGTACTGCCTGTATGGAAGATATTTGCCCTATCTTACTTGCAGAAATGGTAGCGCTCATCTAAAATGGCCGGTTTGCTGCCATGGGTCCAGCTATAAAGTGTAGTGTACATATTTTCAAATGATTCAACGTCAGAGCGTCTACAGAGGCTTCCTGTTAACCTACTTTATCAATTACAAAATCAAAAGTCAAGCAATGACAGAATGTTTCTGTTGGGCTGATCAACAGCAGCTGGTTCTGATGCGTCTAAAAGGTGAATAAAATTATAACAAAGGATCCCTACCTACAGGTTTTCAACTTTATCAGTGACTGCCTGGTGGCCTGAAACCCGTCAAAACTGCTTTTCATGTTTGTTGGAATGAAACAGACAAACAGCTTCAGCAAAAGCCCTAAAGTAAACTCTACTAAAAATCATATGCTTTGCTTAAAAGAAGCGAACTAATGAGTTTAACGAAAACTACCTTATTGGAAAAGAAAAGTCATAAAATATCTAGTAAGATCATTGCTGGGATAATTTCTACAAAAAGCGGGTGGGTTTTCTGCAACTTCTAAACTAATATTAATTTAATGTTTATGTGTAAAACCTGGTTGTGCTTGTTTCTGATTTGATTATGCTAGTCCTCCCTAACAGTTCAAAGGCATTATTAAAAGCCCAAGATACTGTAAATCTGCCATTCCTTCAGATGATGAAAGTGTGTAAAAGCAGGTAAGATACTTTCATTTATATATAGATTCTCTTTTATTTATTTTTCTTGCACACCTTAAATGGAAGTTTGTTCTTACTCTGCCGCTATGATAACAAATACCTGACCCGCCTGCTGTCAGCCTCAAAAGCATCTTAAACCTCCCGACCCCTCGCTCCCTTCCAAAAAGTGGTCGACTCACCCTGTCACAGCGAGGGGACGGCAAGGGGAGAAGGGATGACGGTGGGAAAAAGAAATGAAAAGGAGATAGAGGGTGGTACCGGAGGAGGGATTGAGAGGGCTCAGTGGGTGGGTGGGTGGCAGCTCTACAGCTTCCTTCTAATGTGCCCTCTCCACTCCCCTCCCTGTGACCTCAGCGCTCCTGACAGCAAGAAAGTGCTGAAGCATGCAGGTGTCCTAATGCTGCAGACACACACGAGGAAACGCAAACCTGGACTGCACACACATACAAACACCTGCACACACGTATGCACGAGTCCTGCATTACTTTCCCGTTTTCTGCCTGTTATTCTATTCTTTCAACACCTGCCTACATTATTGACAGCCCTTCAACATGTTCGACTGCTTGGCTATTTATAAAAAAGGACTTGACGTAATGTGTTTAATAAACTAAATATGCATTTGCTTCGCAAGCAGAACACATGAGGAAAGCAGAGTATGCTGGCGGCTGCACAGTAAAATTAGCTGATGCTGATGCTGTAGTTTTTCACTGTCCAGCCTTTTAACTGCATGAGCTAAAACCTGAAGTGTCCAGAGAGTGTCCTGTCCTGTGTCTGTGTGTGTATATGTGCGTGAGGGGGTTGGCATTAGAGAGTTGTATTACAGTGGTGATGAGTCGCCTGACTGCAAGTCTGATACCTCAGCAGCACCCAGCATTGACCAGGCTATTAAATAAAGCCTTCGATCCTCCAGCAGCAGAGAAGGTCACCGCCTGCCTCTGGTTACCCTGCCTGTCTGTCTGCATCCATGGCCAGGAGCCCTCCTGCCATGCATTCCTCACCCCTCTCACCTCCTCATGTCCCCCTTCACCCTAACATGGACATCCAGATACTTTTCCTTTCCTAAATCCCTAAGCTCCTTTGCAAACTTTCCTCCTTCCATCTTTGCTTCCTTCTCTGGAGCTCTGCACTGCCTTGCCTCTTCCATCTCCTTTAGTTTTTCTACTGGAAATGTCAGGCGGCGAAAAACTAGTCCTTGCGTTCCCTTTCTCACTCCATCAGTTTCACCATCCATCCATCTCTCTGTCAACTCCAGATAAAAATAATGTCCAGGGCTTTTTGTTCTTTTTCTCTCTAGCACTGAGTGTGGAGAGGATGAGAGGAAGCCAGAGGAGGTCAGAGGAGAGGTGAAAGGTTTTGGTCTCATCCCAAGAGTACTGTGCATGTCACCCACTGTCATTCAGAGAGCACTATTAAAGCCGAAGCAAAAAAAAATGCAGTCAAACTTTAGAGAAAAGGAAATTTAGAAGTCACATCAGAGAATAAATTGGTTGATAGAAAACAGTGATACTGTTAATAAAGAGCTGGTGTTTAGAAATACAATTATTCCTTAAATGCACCTTCTTGTTTGTTATTTTAGAGTCTTACAACTTTCTTGAAAATATGTTTCCTTTTCATTTTCCCTCGTCTTACGATACAACATATAATGAGAATACTTTCCAGAAAACACAATTACTGTAATAGAAAAAGAAAAACAACAACAATTAGTTACCGCAGTCTCCAGGGGGACCAAGAAATCACAGCTCTCTATCACAGATGGAGGAATTTTCTTGACGTCCTAAAGAAAAATGAAACAAGAATTAATTTAAAGGCTAACAAATTATTCCAGTCGAGGTGAAATTAACTTTTGATGGTAAATGTGTGGATGTTTACCGTCAAAGGGTAAAAAAAAATGGTTACAGAGAGCTACATGTAATGGCAATGAGAAAATAAAACTTTTAAAATGAACTGAAGTTGATATCTCATGTTGATATAAGTTTACACACAACTGTGAGGTAATATTAATTAGAAAAATTTTGAATCAGATCTATCACTGCTCAGCGACACAGTGATGCATTGCAGCAACAAAATTTCATGTTTGCATGTGTTCTTTGTGTATGTGGTTTCAGGATCCTAACAGATAGAAATATATATATTGTGTGGGGTGTGTGTGGGGGGTGTGTGAGTGCATGGTGTTTGGGACTGTATATTTCTGTGTTCCCCTGTAATTGACTTGCTACCTGTCCAGGCTAAACATATTTTATTAGGGAAATATGATATGGATGAAGGGAAGGGAACATTAATGGTTATCTTTAGCCATTGTACATGGACGTATAATTGTATAATATTCATAGTTGGAGTAGTATTAGCACTTATGGTTGTGTGGGCTATGGTCTGTCGGTGATTAAATTTTATATAATATAATATATATTATATATATATATATGATTAACTTTTGGGTAGTATGGCCTCATAAGTAAAGTCGGATGTAGGGAGATTGAGTGTATTAAGGTATTAAGGCATCCTGTCACTATATGGGGCATGATTCAAAAAGTTTTACTTCTTCAGTAAATTGTAATTTGAATTATAATATACAATATTACAGCTAAACGATGTTTGTGTGATTTTGTTATTTTATATTTTGTCTGATATAGATCATCCATTCATTCACTCATTCGTTCATTCAATAATTTACTAATTTAATCATTAATTCATATGAATCATATCCCACCTCTCTTCAAGAAGATCTCCCATGTATAAACAAAAGATAGATATTTAAGTATAAAATGGTAGATATTGCAAATAAAATAAGAACATATATGTATTATATACCTATATGTATATATTTATGTACTTATGCAACTTTTGCATTTCTGAATAATCAAAATTATTTACATTTGCTTCATCAATGAGTATAGTGATAGTGATAGTTAAACTCAAAACAAACTGAAAGAGGCCTTATTTTCTTGGTCTAAAGAGACAGAGTTGAAACGGTGGAGTGCTGAAGATCACCAGGTCATCTCTGTATGTCTTTAAGCAACAAAAGAAAGCAGGGATTTCTATTCATTTCTCTGTAGTCTAACTCATACAGCCACCACATGGACTCTGACCCATGGAGCTGCAGAGGAGTTCCCATTGACTGATCTGCAATACAGTCAAATGTTATCAGCTGGCAGTTCACCAAACCCTCCACCTGATTGACTCCTATCTGTTTTTTTAACTACAATTTATGAAAGTTGGCTATGAAGACAGAGATATTAAACCCTTGATAAACAAAGGGGCCTCAGAATTACAAGTGAAATCTTCACTGTGTGTGTCCACTTTTTGGCTCGCCCAAACAGCCACATGCTCACGTGAGTGAGCCCCACGTGCAGATGGCTTGGACATGGCAGTCGTGTTTGGGGTCAAGGCCTCTCCCAGGTACAAATGAAAGGGAGAGGCGAGACTCTAGAAGTGGCTGAACGACGGTGTGGGTCACCTTGCCTGAGAAAGAGATCAATGTCTGTTTGACTGGCCGAGGGAGAGGCTGCCTGCAGAGGAAGGGTAAATCACCCGTTGCTTCATTGAGATGCAGGTAAAATACACAAGGGTCGGGCTTAGCTCCAGCTCCACCCTGGATGACATAAACTCATGCATGCCGACCATGCTTCCTGCATCTTCCGAACCTTACATCACTTCTGTGCTCTGAGACTCAAACAACTTAAATCCTATTTACCCAAATTGTCACCATTGCTCTCCAGCTGTGCATTCTAATCAAAGTTCTTTGCAAAGGTTCATGCGAATCTAGTTGCACAGAAGTAGAATTTTCAATCCAGAAAATTAAATGTCTCTCACAATGCTTTCTTCTTACAGGGAAAACAATTTTCCAAAATGCATCTACAGAAATGAAGAAACCCATGTTTACCGCTGGAGCATTCTTTGCACATGCACAGTCGCGACAGGATGGGAAAGAGGTAAATTATTAGGGTTTCAAATAAAAGACATAACTCAGGACACAACGAGGGGGCAAAGGGAGGAGGCTGCTCCGCCACTGACAGAGCTGGATGATAGACGGGGCACAGAGGAACATGAATGCAGCTGATTTAAATCACTTTAAATGTAAATGTTTATCGCATGGAGTGATGCAGACGCAGACTGAGTAGAAAAGATTGAAAACGTTTCCTCTTTTGAATGTGAATTTGTTTTTAACCCTTTGGGTATATCAGGGTGTGAGTGGGGGGGCGCGGGGGGGAGGGTTTTTTTTTGGGGCGGTGGAGACAGGGAGTGGATATTCAATAAATGCAGCTGTGTGTCCTACTGTAGCAAAGTATACTTTCATGTTAACATAAAACCTGGTTTTTATTTAAAATCAGAAACTTAGAGCTTAATCTGTGATGAATATTTTAGTGTTAGAAGAAGCTTTTCAGGTTGGAAATGTATGATTTTGTAGAAATAATATAATTCTGCTTTTTGAGTCAATATTAACATTGTTCAAAAAGCTTGAAAATCCACCAGCATAATGAAAAACTGAGTTACTTTAGATTTGACATGCTAAAGCTGAAGCACATGGACAACCTTCCACCACAAGGTCACATATAAGGCATTGCACGCTGGATATCGAGTGTGTGCACACAAACAGAGACTCAACAATGAGTACGTCCTTTGTCTTACTAATTCTGAGACATTAAAGCAAAGCACATGACGATGATTCAAATGTCAATACTGATAAATTTCAAAGTGATTTCCCATAGTTGACCTGAAAGAGAGGAGACCAATATTATGACAGCAGACAACTACATTATCTTTAATAACCTAATCATTGGACAGACTGCAAATGATCACAGCACAGAAGTCAATATACTGAGCCTGAGAATAGAATTACAGCTTATAATGATGGGATTAATAATGCACCATGTCTGTGCTCTGCATGTGCACGCTTTTCTCTGAACCAGAAGGCGGTGAAAGGAGGACGCGACCGAGGAAACTCTCAAATGTTTGCTTCCTGTTCCTCCTGCCCTCCTTCGGCTACAGGAAGTGTAATCAGTGCTACTCTCCTGGCCCCTAGTGTGACTAGAGGTCAAGATCTACACTATATAAAAAAAAAAAATCCTACACATTTCCACAGCAGCTAGCAAATTCAGCAATTTCCCCCCTATAAAACGCACAAGAAGTGCAAACCAGACATCCACGACTTCAGCTGAACATGTCACCGTCTCAGAACGAAAGGAGGTGACATGAAAGACCCACAGTGTCTCAATGTAGTTCCAGAGGTTATAACACAAATGTAATTAAATAGCTCACTATATTGACCTAATCAGATAGGGCCATAAATTAGTGGATACGCTCACTAAAAGGCCCTCTCCTCTCAGCTAGTGTGCATCCCTGATCGTTTATCATTTGAAAGAAAGCAGGATGACAGCCAGCCTCTCTGATGTCTCTCACTCTCTCTTTTAATCACAGACAAATATCCTTCATTTCCTCTGGATAAGCTTCTGCTAACATGCCTTGTCTTCTTTAGCTTTGACCTTTATGGAAGACAATGGTGCACAGGTGAGGCATATAAGGATTTGTCTGGGCACCCTGCAGTTTACTTCCTGTCTGAATTTTGTATGCAAACAAAAAAAAAAAAAAAAACAGCTCTAGTTCTCATATTAAAATAAACACCATCAATGAAATACATGTCCAATAGGTCATGCGGAGAGAGAAAACACTTTCCCCTAATTTCACACAAACGCTGTACAAATACTTATCACAGCCATAAAGGTTTCCAGTAGAAGGCGTTGTGGTGGCATTCGGTCCAGCCTATAGTGCTGATCTTTAAGATGCTCAGAGCAGAAACCATCTGCAAGCTGGATTCAACCTATTCTGTGCTGCAAGTCTGAATGACAGCTTATTCCACCTGGTTTTCTACTTTTATCTAGTATAAATACCACCCAGTAGTGTAAAAAAAAAAAACAAAAAAAAAAACAATCTAATTAATTGAAATAATCTCTTAAATGTGGTGCAAAATTTTATCAATGGGATTAAATGGTTTTAATTTGCAGCCCGTCGAATTTCTCCTATGTTTTCTTTTTTGTTAGAATATACTTTGAAATATTTTATTTTTACATTGCATTATTCAGTCTACACAAAATACACAGTGTTATTAGTCATGAACAGCGTTGTGTGTGAGCCTAATATGAAGGACTCTATATACTGCGTTCAACTAGTGGAGCAGGAAAAAGTACAAGTTTGCTCTAAAATCAATCATTAACCCTGCTTTCCTCTGATACCTTGCGGCATAGATCTACATGTATAGAGCAAAAATTACACATATTCTCTGATTTTCAATCATTTTTAAAGAAAGATTCCTGCTTTCTTGGATTTTGGGGACGTTTAGGCCGTCATTTAATTTGTATTTATTAGAGAAAATAAATCTGCGTTTCTTTAAAAGAGAAAATAAATTTTTATACAATAATTAGGTGAATAAAAATATCAATAAAATGAGTGTCTTTATCAGATGGAGCTGTCATTTGACGATTATTTTGCACCGTCTCCAATCACGCGGATAAAACCAAAGCATAATAAACGCACCTCAAACTTTGGTTGTTATTTCTATTTAAATTTGAGTTTCATAAAGAAGAGATAGAAAAATGCAACCTGGCCCGCCTTTAAAAACATCCAGATAAATAATATGCAAAACTGAGATGAACAAAAAAAAAAAAGGAGGATCAGGAGAATAAATTTGTTTTTCATCCATAAAGGTTTATTGATGAATGTTAAATGTGTAGATTTCCGACCTTCACTTTAAAACATTTCGGTTTATTTTATCAATAGATAAAAGAAAATAAGAATACCCGCAGTGATGTAAATATTCAGTCTGTTGCTTTAAAAAAATGCAGACACCTAAAACAGTCCATGATTAATTTGAGGCCATAAATTAATTGTTCTTTTCGTCTAATTGCAACAAATTTGATATATCTTATTGTGATATTTAATTATCAGTCCCACCTGTTGATTAATCATTTTGAACTGTTGTAAATCAGGAAATATATTTACTAATTCTATTTCTCTGTGTTTTCGGGTATGCCTAGTATCAATCAATAATGAGGACAAAGTTGCTTTACAGTCGTTTTCCCCACGTGGCTCCAACAGAAGCCAAAGTCTTTCCCGCAATCGACTTTAAATATTAAGTAATGGAGCTGAACAATGCAATCATGATACAATTACAAAAAAAATCAACAAAACAAAAAAAAGAAAATATGTTCTCAAAAACAACTGACAGAGCATCCGTGCATGACCAGCATGCATGCTTTCACTTTCTCACAACAGTCTGCAGAGTTTTGATGTGACAGAGTTTGGTCATTTTTCACAATACAATTTAAATGTGTGATCATTGGATTACTGCGTATCTAAATATATTTAAAATAAGATCAATCAAAGCTGCTGAGCTTAGAGCAATAGTTGCTTTTTTTACACTTATCTAATTTGGGTGTAAAGATGAATGACGCAGACAGAAAAGACAGACAAACATGAAAAAGTGGACTTGGATCCTTTAAAATGTCCTATTTACTTTCTTTGAAAGATGATCAAACAGAAATCAAAATAGTCTTTTACATGGAAGCCGTTGAAATAAGTAAAAAAAAAAGTGTTTTATTACATTTTTTTCTCCTTTGATTTGAACTTAAGCCGATTTAACCAACACATAACCGTCTTTTAAGTTGCGCGCAAACTAGAAGTTTTCTTTGTGATTCAGGGTGAAGTTCGCTTTTCACAAACTTTTTCAGCGGCGACACTCACATGAAAAACTCCGGAGATGAAGGGTTGTTGTCGCTGCTGGAGCCTCCGTTTTCTCTGAAGCCGGTGCTGATGAGCTTCTCGTATTTCTCCTTGTAGGCGTCCCTCTCCCTGGCCAGCCGGGAGATCTCCTGCTTGAGGTGGTCCACCTGCTGCATGAGCTGCGTCTTCTCCCCTTCCAGGACGTGCCGCTGCTGGACGCGCTTGTACCGACAGGACTGCGCATAGCCTCTGTTCTTTAGTGTCCTCCTCTTCTGTTTCAGACGGATCACTTCTTCCTTGCTGACCCCCCGGAGCTGCCGGTTCAGTTCCCGCACCGACATGGTGACCAGCTGCTCGTCCGAGAAGCGCTCCTCCAGCCGCATGTGCTGGTGGTTGCCCCCCGCGCCGCCGCCGGACTGGGACCCGGAGGAGGGGTGGTGTGCCCCTGTGTGGTGGTGGTGGTGATGGTGGTGGTGGTGGGGAGCCCCGTTCTGGGCTGCGGCAGCGGCGATGACCGCGGACACCACGGCGGCCGCCGATCCCATCTCCTCCCCGGCCATGGCGCCTCCTGCCCCGGCCGCTCCGCCGAACTGTTGCCCTCTGGCATAGCCGTCGAAGGTTTGGAGCTGGTGACTGCTGCTGATCAGCGCCTCTACGGCGTCCTCTGGGCTAAAGCCCAGAGCCTCGGGGTTCAGCTGCTGCTGGTACCCGGTCATCCAGTAGAAATCCTCCAAGTGCGTCTTCTGTTCGCTCCCTGATCCCGGACTGGGCGCCGAGAAGCTTGGAGAGGGGGGAACCGAGCTGCAAGGCGTGCTCATCGGGGTGGAAGATAGGGATCCCCCGGCGACCAGGCGGCTGCACTGGTTGATGGTGCGATCGGGCTCCACCGGCTCCTTTTTCACTTCAAACTTCATCAGATCGAAGTCATTAACATATTCCATGGCCAGGGGACTGGTGGGCAGGTCGGAGTTGCTCATTGCCAGCTCTGATGCCATCCTCTTGCTGTTGACAGTCCTCCAAAGGGGGTGAGGAGCACCTGTCAAAGTAGGCTGCTGAGACACGCACTGAGCCAGCTTGATTTCTTTATTTATTTTCTTCAAAACAGAAGGAAAAGTGAGTTCTCTCGCACTAATTGCGCTGCGCAGGTTCGGGTTTTGTGAGTCGATAAGTTTTTTCTCTCTCTCTCTTCAGTCTGTGTTGCACAGACGCATTGGAGCAGCGCTGTTTCCTCCCTCTCTCCCAGCGTGCGGGTGTCTGAGCGCCGCTCTCTCTGTTTCTACCGTTTAACACTTCATGGCTCCTTTTAGGATTAGTGCGCCAATTTGAGGAGGTTCACGTATGTGTCCCAGCCAAATAGTTGCCTAGTAGAGAATGAAAGTAAAAAAAAAAAAACTCCACCCAAGGATTGATAGATTTTTTTTTTTTTCAATGAGATCAGTCAGCCGACGAGTTAAAAACCATTCCTTAGTTTTATAGGCGTCCTGACGTCAGGAATGAAATATGAAATTGACTGAGACCCAACCAATCAGCACACTGGTCCAAGGACTTCATTAGCATAATAGAAGAAAAGTTTTTTTAACTGTCAAATAGATCAAATGGCTTATTTTTGAGAATAAACAATTATGTTTTTGTCATTTTGAACAGAAAAAGAAATAAAATTACGAAAAACAAAATGCGAAGTACATTTTAAAAAAGAGGAGACTGATTCTAATCATAATAACTGCCCAAAATACTTTAATGCAACTATCAACAAAAATAAGTGAATAAAAAAAAAGATGTAAGGAATATAAAAGAATTGACACTAAACCCAGAGTTTGATAAATAGGTTGTAAGCTGGGATATGAAATAATATTTGATTTAAAATATGGTCAAATTGTTAATTACTAATTAATTAATTACAAATTTGCAACCCTTCATCTCTTCAAATGAAGTGCAACATTTTGTATTTAAAAGCATCATTATGTGTTGAAATCGATTTCACTCAACTGTTTCCTCAAATGTCAAATACTCTGTTTATTTAAAGAGCCAAACGGCTAGAGATGCTGAATTTATGTGAGTAAAGTTGAATGTTTGAAAGCAGCATGGCATGGGTTTAGTCTGATTCAATTGCACTGTTTTTAAACCCAATGTCGCCACCTTTCGGCATAAATGAGAATTTCTTTGCGATGTACTTCAACCCCAGTATCACACTCCAAGTGTCCCATGTCAATATAAAGCCCAGTCTCTCTAACAGAGCAGTCTGTTCTGACAACATGTTTCCCCCTGGACTCCATCATCCAAATCTCACATTATGATCATGTGTCTCTGTTTCTGTGTCTACTGGAACACTCTCCTCAGGAGTCATTGCACATAAGAACAAACACTAAGCAGGGCTATACTCTCAGGACCAGAGAGTAAATAAGAGCGCTCTCCCTGGATTGTGTCACACAGGGGAAGCTTCAGAAAACTACAAAGCTGCCTGCAGATAATCCAACTCCCCGGTGTCCTAAACACAAGTAAATATTCTCCTGGTCCCTGTGACTGTTCATGGGACTTAATATTAAACAGGAAGAATAAACATTGTGTTTTATTCATTAGAGCACACCATAGAAGCCCCTCAGATGCCTATGAATAAATATAAGTCTGATGTAATGTCTCATCTGAAGCTGCTGCACATTGCTGCTGACTGGCAGGAACTTTAAGGAACCGAGTGTGAATGTAAGGCTAAGAGATTTATTTTCATGCAAGTTATTATTATTTTCAAACTTTGAATAATTGGCATTTTAGATTTCATAAAATGTGTGTTTCCTATGAGATTGTGAAGGCTTTGATATTATTTTTGCATTCAAATAAATCAGTCAATTAATCTTTTTTGGAGGTTTTATATGAATTTGCTTAAACAGTGTTATTTTTTTATTTTTTTTGGCATTCACACAGTAATATTCCAAGAGGCAAAAATTAAAATAATCACAATGCAATGTGGCTGTACACCATTATTAAATTTAATTTAAAAAAAATAGGACAAACACCTGCTGCTGTTGCTTAGGAATAGGTGATACTCTTTAACTATTAGAAACCTGTGGATGCTACAGACTTAAATAGAGGAGACATTCATCCTGCTTAGGGCACCAGGATGTATTCAGGACAGGATATTTCCTCTTTTCTACCACAAACAGAATCACAAAACTCTGTTCAGGAAAAAATATTTAGCAGTTTGCTCCACATTTCCATGACATAGGTTGAAATGTAAGCAATATGGTGCTGTTATGTGTTATATCTTTGTTGTTGAAAGTCCATCTTTATATCTAAGGCCATCCATTTCAGCTTTTTACCCCCAAAACACACATTTTGCCATTCATTGCATACAACCAATCCAGTCGCTTTAAAAGATATAGGCTCTGACAAGAGCCCATAGATGGACCAATATACTCCGGGGATCAAGTATTTACATCGGATTATGCATGC